CTCCATGTCATTTATTTCTGCTCTGATCTTTATTATTTACTTCCTTCTACTTTGGGCTTTTCTTGCTGTTGTCTTTCTAATTCATTTAGTTGTAGGGTTAGTTTATTGGTCCTTTTTCTTGTTTCTTGAGGTAGGCCTTAGAGGTATGAACTTCCCTCTCAGGACTGCTTTTGCCGTGTCCTAGAGGTTTGGGGTGGTTCTGTATTCATTTTAATTTGTTTCCAGGAAGTTTTTAATTTCTTGCTTGATCTAATTGGTAATGCATTCATTGTTTAATAACATGCTATTTAGCCTCCATGTATTTGGGTGTTTTTGAGTTGTTTTTATTATAGTTGATTTCTAACTTCATGCCATTGTGATCCAAGAAGATGCTTGGTATTACATCAGACTTCTTCAATTTGTATAGACTTGTTTTGTGTCCTAACATGTAATCTATCTCTGAGAATGTTCCATGTGTACTTGAGAAGAATGTATATTCTGTTGCTTTGGGGTGAAATGTTCTGTAAATATCAATTAGATCCATCTGATCTAATGTGTCATTTAAGGCCTGTGTTTCCTTGTTGAATTTTTGTCTGGAAGATCTATCCAGTTATGTCAATGGAGTGTTAAAGTCCCCTAGTACGAATGTATTGCTGTCAATCTCTCCCTTAAAGTCCATAAATAGTTCGTTTTTTAATGTATTTGGGTGCTCCTATATTGGCTGCATATATGTTTACAAGGGTTGTATTTTCTTGTTAAATCATTCCCTTTAGTATTATGAAGTGGCTTTCTTTGTCTCTTGTTATGGCCTTAGTTTTGAAGTCTATTTTGTCTGGTATGAATATTGCTACCCAGCTTTTTTCCTTTCCTTTTGCATGGAATATATTTTTCCATCCCTTCACTTTCAGTCTCTGTGTATCTTTTGTTCTGAGGTGGGTCTGTTGTAGACAGCATATATATATGGCTCATATTTTCTTGACCATTCAGTCACCCTATGTCTTTTGACTGGAGCATTTAACCCATTTACATTTAAGGTTATTATTTATAGGTATTTATTTATTGTCATTTTATTTTCTTTATGCCTATGATCTCTCTCTCCTTTTCTTCTTCTTAAAGCAGTCCCTTTAACATTTCTTGCATTGTTAGTTTGGTGGCAATGTACTCCTTTAACCTTTTTGTCTGGAAAACTTTTTATTTCACCTTGAATCTTAAATGACAGCCTTGCAGGATATAGTAGTCTTGGACTTAGGCCCTTGCTTTTCATTACTTGAAAGACATATCCTTGGGTGAGGATTGAAAAAAAAATGCCTCTATTATTAGTACATAATTTTATCAAAAGACATAATTCATAGCCGTTTTTCCAGTGGTCATATTTTGTGCTATTACTTATATTCTAAAATTGCAACTAGTTTGGCTGAATGGTGAAAGGCACCAAGAGTTAACGCACGAGGCAAGAATTGTTATTTTAGATGCTTTTTTCAATGTAAACTTCTAATGGTGCCTGCTGCTGACCAGAACGGACAGCCGTTGTGCAAGGCCAGGCTTTCTGGCCCAGTGCTGACCCTAATGAAAGCTGTCAGGCCTCCTCCATTGAAATTCAAAACAAAACCACCCATAACCCCATTTTAAAGAGCAAAACCACAAGCCACAGCTTCAGTCATTGCTGGGGATGCTTCCATTTCTTATTTCCTATTGATAAGTCGCAGAAAGGCCTCCCTTAATCAGCCATGAAAGTGGAAACTGGCTGCCTTTTGAGTTTAAAGAAACTTAGGGAGAGAGAGCAACTCGAACGCACGTGAGTGCAGAGAAGCTGCTCCCTCTTCCTGTTCTGGCGGCACCAGGGCGACGGTGGAGAATGCTGGACCTTGAGCCCATTAGAAGCGAAGTGCAGGGAAAGGAGGCCACCTGCAAACTTTACAACCAGGACAGGAGAAAGGGTCTCTGGAGCTGAAGCCATATTGCCGGATAAATGCACCTACAGAAACCATGTGTCAGGTTTCTATGAGGCATCGGGCACCAGGACAAGAGCCAGATCAATGCTTAGGTAGGAAGCCAAATAGTCTTCCTTTGTGAATAATTCACCCATAGCATCAATTGAATGTGCATATACTGTTGGTCTATAGGCCACTTGGGCTTGAAGGCGATGGATTGGGATTCAAATACTGACTCTGATACTTACCACAGCTAAGGGGCTGTGGATAGGTTACTTTGTATACCACAGTTGCAGCATCTACGAATAAAATACGATGGAGTGATTTGCCGAGACTAGCGATTGGCACAGAGTAGATGTTTAATAAATAGTGCCTGCAATTAGTAGTAGTGATGATGGTAGAGTGGGATCATTATTATAGAATTAAAGTGTATATTACACATATAATATAATCATGTATCTGTTTATATAAGTCTATTTACACATTCATATGTCATCACAGATGGTGAGCAATAGCCTTGGGCTTAGAATAACCTAAAAGAAGTAGGTATATCTACTTGCTCACTTGTCCAGGAATTCCCCATGAAATTAGAAGATTAATGTGTCTCACAGGAGAAATGGCTCTCAGGGAATGGTGTTTGAGTGGATTCGGGGCATACCGGGCAAGAGGAGGCCTGGGTGCTGTTGAGGCCTCGGTTTAACTTCATGTACCTAGAGAACTTTTGATCAAGTTAATTAGGATCTTACTCGCTGCAGGGAGTCCTATAGACATGAGATATAAGTGTTTTTATAGCAGGAAGTGCGGGAGAGGTTGCCCTAAACTTTGAATTTCCACCATGTGGCACTCAGTACATATTTGTTGAGTGACTGATTGTCTGAAGGCTTAGTCTATCTAACTTAGGGAGCTCCTTGATTTAGGGCAATACTCACCTTCCCTGGTCAATTTCCTCCCAAATCTATTGTACCTGCCTGGTGCAGAGCCCATTTGGAAGTCAGTCAGCACTTACCTGAACAGCACAAGGGGGCAGATAGCCCGCAGCGTCTCCCTTGGGTCTCTTCGATATTTTCGACATCCCCTTGGCTGATGACACTCCAATGTCTGCTTTGCCATGGCTTAAATTCCGCCTCCACCAAATGCCTAAAGCTTAGCTAGAGTCAGACCCATAAAGCCACTTCTCTGCTCAGCCCGAGACCTCAACATGATGCATCTCTTTGGAAAGGACGTGTCTAACTCGTTCAAGGAGCAGTGGCATTGGTGCAGGGAAGCAGTATGGCTTTGAAATCACACCAACCCAGGTGTGAATCACAGCTCTGCCACTTATGAGCTGTGTGGACAAGGCGAATTGTAAAACATCTTGGCCTCAGTTTCTTCATAAGACAGGAAGGGGAGGGCTGCCTGGTAGGGTCGTGGACACATTAGAAATCAGATGTAATGTTGCAGCCTGCTTAGCACAGTGTGGCTCACAATCATCCCCGCAAGGATGGGAATTATTTTCAGGAACATAATGCCTGGTCACCAACAATCATTTTCTTCAACGGTTATTAAGCACCTTCTATGTGTCAGAAACAGTTCAAGGCACCGTGGCCACAGTTGTGAACAAAATAGACAGATCTAGTGGGGTTTATATTATAAGAGGTGGAAAGAGAAAATAGCAAATAGATACATAATGTGTCCAATAGTATTAAGTGTTGTGGAGAAAATAAAGGGTGAGGGTGCATTGGGTGCCACCATGAAGTCAGTCACATTCTCAGAAAGGGGGTTACATTTGAGCAGAGACCAGAATACAGTGTGAGAGGAAGCCATGCAATTCTCTGGAAGAAAAGCATTTCATCAGAGGTAGCAGCAAAGATAAAGTCGTTGCCTAGGATGGGTACTTGGCATATTTCAAGAACACAGAGGCTGGAGTGACTCCATATAGCGGATGAAGAGAAAGTGCTATAACACAGGATCAGAGAGCAAGGTGGGGACCAGATTATGAAAGAAACCCTGGGCTGTGGTAAAAATTTGCACTTGACTCAGTGAGATGAGAAGTTGTGTCAGTGAGTGTTGGCTGTGTACGAGCAGTCCTGGAAACTTCATGGCTTCACAGAACAAGCCTTTATTTTTTGCCATCCTGTGGGTGGACCCGGCTGGGGCTGAATAGTCTGGGATGGCCCCGCCCACATGTCTAATGGTTAGCCTGGGGTCAGTTTGGGTAGCGACCAGGTGTCTCTCATCACCCGGCAGGCTAGCGGGTGGTTGCCAGGTTCCAAAGAGCAGCAAGAGAGGGCAACCCCCAGTGCACAGGCACTTCTCCAACTGGACAAGGTAAGTCAGGCGGCCAAGGCCAGAGTCAGTGTGGGAGACAACCAGTCACGTGTGGAGACTGGGGGTTATGGCAGTGTTTACCTCAAAAGCACTGGAGGGTTTGGACCAGAGAAGACTCACAGCTTTAAAGGAGCTGTGATAATAAGGACTTTGTAAGGGTAAATATCACCAGACCAGGGAGGTAGCCAGGCGATGGGCCACTGGAAAGCAATGGTGTTTGACTGGACTGGGCCACAGAGCCAGAGGCCCAGAGGTTCATGATGCTGTGTGGCCTGAAGGTGCCATTATAGTATTTTAGCAAATGCATCCTCTCCATCTTGTCTAATTGGACCTTCTCAGACCCCTGGAATGGCCTAGAAACCAGGGTTAGTGAAAAGGGGCTGAATGGGAAAGAACCCCCAAACCGCCCACTTTCTAATACACAGATCTTCTCTAATGACCAAGAACTTGATAATTACAGGGGGAACAGACCACTGAGGACTGAATAACCCACTATAAGTAACAACAGAACCTCTCTAGGTGAAATTAAACAATAGTCATGTTTCTTTCTCTTTCTTCAACAGAAAATATGATGCTGGCATGCTAATCGCGTGAGACAACCCGGGCCACGGACAGCCACAAAGCACAAAACAAACTCAGAAGAAACAAGAACGGTGTTTTCCTGGCGTCTACAAGAAGCGCTTTATTTTTCCTCTAGATTTCTTTTCTAAAAAAAAAAAAGGCAAAACAAAACAAAAAACCAAAACTGTAACAAACATTTAAAGACACAAGACAGACTTCAGGTGATAACATTCGAGCATGCTCTTTTATTAAGCGTAGGATGGGAGGGATGACAGGACTGGTGAGCAGAAAGCTAAAGCAGGAGCCCTGAGGAGCTGTGAGCCGCCGGGGTGCTGCTTGAAACCGTGAATGAAAAATGAAGGGAACGGCTTTTCACCCCACCCCGCAATGATCCTGTAAATTCCTACGGACAACGCTTCCTTTCCTGCCTGTCAAGGTATTGGGGGGATGCTTGGCAAAATTCATCTGCTATAATTGCTAAAGAACGTTTTGTATAGTTTGGCAAGGGAGTCGAAGGACTGGTACCTTTGTGACTCGTAGCTCTGTCTATGCCAGTGTCACCTCCATCTTCGCTGACAGGAACAAGGCTCAGGGCCTCTCCCCAGGAGTTGCCAAGCCCACTTGGACTTGGTCAGAAAGAATGCAGCAATGATCTCCTGGATCAATGCAGCGGAAGGATAAACACTCTTTCCTGAACAGAGAAAGCTCCCGGCGGCAGTGTGGCTCTGGCTGTGCTGGTGGGACAGGGGGCACCAGGCTACTCTAAATAGTGAGAGAAACTTGCTCCTGCTTCTACAATGAGACAGGCCACCACCAGGAAAGAAAAGGGACCCAAGCCTCAGCCAGCCCCAGAAGAGAGATCCTTGACCCCTGGAATGAATTCCCTGCTTCCCACTGGTATTTGACATTTTCCCATCTGCTGTGACTACTCCTATTTCCTTGGCTCTGGCGGATTGGTGTCAGAGGGACACGGAAAGGCCTGGATAATCTGGATAATAAGTTGGGGAGGGGGCAGCGTTGGCAGTGACGTGCGGGCACACAGGATGGGCGTGTGTTCCAGTCGTCACCTGAGCTCCCGCTTAGCTGGCCTGGCCGCCGAGTCCCTCCTGGATCAGCCTCTCGCTGAGCGCCCACAGGGCCCGGGCTGTCTCCTCCCTCTGAGCCTCCGCGGAGGGCAGGCAGCGGCAGCAGTTGTTGAAATACATCCCTCCCAGGCCCTCTAGTTCGGGGGCAGCAGCACAGTAGACGGTGGTGGCAGCTCCTTGTTGCTGGAAATTAAAAAAAAAAAAAAAGACCATAAACAATTTATTTAAGAAAAGAGGTGATGAGATGACTTTCTTCTGACTGGGAATCAGCAAGCCTCTCCCCGCCCGGTCCACTTGCATCTGGACCTCAGCGTGGCCAAGGGGCCTGAGCTGAGCCCAGGCCTGGAAGGTAGGAGGTGAGCAGCCTGGAACAGCGAGCTCACGGACCCTCTAAAGCTGGCGTGACTCTTTGCACCTCATATAGGAAAAGGCTTCAAAAATAAATATGCATATCACTCACGTCAGACATCTCTCCCCAGCAAAGAGGAAATGAAGGCACCCTTCTGCACACGCAAGAAGACATTTGTCCAACCCCTTGACTTCTCAGTGCATAATGCATTTCGGCACAAGATGTTTCCAGAACCTTCTGTCTGGATGAAACCAACCACTCTAATAATGGCCCATCAGGGAGAAACTTAAGCAGGACCCGTGCCAGCCCACTCCAGAACGCAAGTTGCAATGAGTGCTATGGATCACTTTCCGTTCACTCTGGAGTAGCACGGTGGCTAGGGCAGTGTGCCAGGGAGGGACCATATCATCCCGGCTGACAGGGTACTGTCAGAGATGCTGTAAAGAGGGCAAGAACTCACTTTGCTTTGCAAGCCATAATTAAAAATAATAGGCTGGTGTTCATAGGGAGACACGGTAGGCACGGCTCTAATTTAAAACCAATACAGTTTATCTGGCATCTTATGATTATTTATGTGCATCACAGCCCTGGTTGCATCAACTAATTATAGGCTGATAGGGAGGGGGGTTGTGGAAGAGGATGGAGAAAGGTAATGAGGGATAAGGTCACAATTAGAAAAACATTAAGGACATTTGATTGGGGAGGAAATGGGTTTCTGTCCTCACTCAAAGCTTCCCCTTTTCGTGCTCCTATAGGGTTTAAATTGTGCCCAAGCAGGATGCGTAATGGAAAACCATGCCGCACAAATGGTTTGGTTTACATTCACTACAACCACTGGGGGTCAAGGTCATTGTGAGGATCAGGGCCTCGAGATGCTCTAATTTTAGGAAAGTGCTACAAAACAGACTTGGTTTTTGTTTGTTGTCATATCTAGTTCTTGTGAAAAACCCATAGTCAAATCAGTAAAGGGACATGGGTGGGGGAAGCGGGAGGGGGAGAGACTTGAGTTCTGATCATAGCTGGCTTCTCGATAGGCCAGGACAAGTCCCATTAGTTCAGAACTTGAATTCCTGACATGATTGAGCTTAATTAAGTCATAATTGTTTTGTTACTTCCCCAACCCCCTCACCGTGCCCACTCCCCAAACAGCCAGCTATTTTCTTGGATTCAGCTCTTTCTTTTGAAATTGATTTGGGTGGTGGCTCAAGTCTAATGGGAATAAGTTCATGTTATCCAATTTTTCTTTCACTGAATTATTATTGCTAATAACACTTTGTTTAGCACCTGGCACATTTCTCTAAAGAATTCGAGAGGCTTATCTGACTCCTTGCACCTCATGTGGGGAGGCAAAGTGACTCTAAAGACAAATTGAAGAATGGAGATGCTTGCCCCACTAACTCAAGCCAAATATCCTTTTGGCCTCACTTCTTAGCAGAGTTCAGTTGGAGATGGTGTTTTGCATAATTTTCTGGATATCTGTCTAAGATTTCCATTTTGCTTCCCAGCTGCCAAAACCACCAGAGAGTGGTCAGGTGATTTACCATCAACTGTAAGGGGTGAGAGAATCCGGCCAGCTCAGCCCCAGATCCAGGCTCTCCACCCGATGCAGAGCCTTGGAGTATCGGCATGTATACAGCAGGACAAACGGGCCTTTCAGAGCCACCAGTGGTGAGAAAAGATGAAAGTAGGCCACTGGGGAAAGCACAAAGCGGGATTCTCCCACACCCGGTATGATATTTTGCCACCGTGACCTTCTAAAATGATACCAGGTTGCACCCTTGCATTGTGGGAATGGTATTTTTGCAAAGAAATTCTGCACTTGCATTGATTCGGAACCATGTTGATGAGGGAGCTGGGGGCATGCATTTTCCCTCCATGGAATCTGACAGCAATCGCTATGACCTCAGTTCATATAAGCCTGTATTTGGCTACCATGCTGAAAGCCATACATGTTAGAAAAGCCCAATCTTGCATCAAGAGCTGGCGTTGAGTCTTGCCGCCAGGCTTGGGGTGATGCACAATCTAATTCCATCGCGAGAGGTTCTGTAGAAGAACCCAGGGGCACCTGAAAGCAAGGACCACCTTCTCCACTCGGAGATCCACCCCGCATTGGGCAGTCTCCCTCTCTGATCCATGCTCAATTCAACTGGTACTCGATTAGCTTTCTTGCCGGACAGCTAAGAAGTAACAGATCTTTCAGTCCCAAGCTCACCACCCTTTTTGCTCTGGGGGAATTCTCTTAGCTGCACCAGGGCAGCCTCTGAGTGACATCTTCATACAAGATGTGCCGACAGTTTCATAACAAGTTCTAATGTTTGGCTCATCAGAAGGAGACTGAGCCACGTGAGGGGAATCTCATTAGTAAATAGGCTGGGCTTGCTGATACAAGATCAAACATTTCAAAACTGACAAACACACATTTAAAAGAGCATTTTCATCACTGTTAAATGGCTTTCATGCCACTTTTTTATTTGGGGGGTGGGGCATCAGTACCTAATTCAGAAACGATGAAAGTCATATAAAGGGAACAATGCTACCAACTCCGTTATAAAACACCTGGAGCCACCATGTCTTGTGAGTTGTTACCACTGTTTACTGACCCATCGTGCTAACAGCAGCACCTTGACCTAAAAGCACTGGCTGGAGCTGTGGGTCCCCCTCAACAATTTGTTAAGAACAATTTCTCGGAAGCCTGCTTATCAGGGAGCTGGGCGCGGCGGCTCTAGTCTCCATCCCCTAGAATTGGCTATGCGTTAGGGTGTGGCTGGCACAGGACAGTTTCTGGGAAGCCCAGTAGAATCTGTCATCATGCCTGAACGCCACTTCTGATCTGATCAAACGTTTTCGAGCTGCCAGAGGAGAGCTGAGCCATCCATCTCCATAGTGTATGTAAAATCACCCAGGATTCTTGTTGGGGATTAAGTTAAGAGTATCTTGGTCATAAAGGTTCATCATTCTCCTTCAGAAATCATTTGTCAGATTTGCAGCCCCGTCTCCAACTACAGGAAGGTGGACTTAGAAAGTGGTTGCTGTTTATTTATAGTTGAGGCCCTGAGCCCTAACTTATCCATCCTTCCCAAGCCCTTTGTTGGGATGAAAATATTAAGTAGCCGCTTTTCATCAACATTTACTTGATGACTAGCCAGCAATTTGTAGCTGTCAGCATGGAATCTAAATGAATATTGACTCTTTTAAAGGAAGAGGTACAGAGGTTTCTAATAAACAATACATGGTAAAGGAAAAACCACCCACATATCAATGTTTGTAATGCATTGGTTAGTGCTTTAACCACCTACATATTGATATTTGTAATGCATTGGTTAGTGCTCTAATATAACTCACGTTTTAATAAGGACACATATTACACAGTTACTGTTTAGTTTGAGTTTCTCTATTTTAAAATGCATGCTTATTTAAAAGACAGAGTAGATTCCTATCTTAAAGTAGATTAAATTACGAGATGTATAAAAAACAGACACTGTCACAGAATATCTATAGTCAATGATTCTGAGAGTAGATGTTCTAAGATTGCTTTATCACAGACCTACAGATATCACAGATTGCACAGAAAATGCTGAATGAATCGACTTTGCAAACAGTACAGATGTGTAAGGGAATGTGTCAGGGGACTCAGACTGGGAACCCCACGGGCAGGAAGGAGAGCCCTTTGGGAAGAGGGCAGCGGTCACTGTGCTGAATTCCCGGGACAAAGAGGTGATGTGAAGTGAGCAGGTGCCTCTTCGTATCCCCAAAGCTTTCCCTGTTCCTCATCTGGGGTCTGTTAGGAAGACAAACCCTCCCCAAAGGCAAAACCGGCCACCTCTCCAGCGGCCTGTGAATACGGCAGGATAATCTACCACAGAGCTTTGGAGTGAGCACGCGTGTCACCGTGGAATGACTGCCCCCGCAGCCTCTGCCTTGCCCGGCCTCCCAGTAACACCCTGGAGGAGAGTTTCTGCCGTTCGCCTGACAGTGCAGCCCGGGCTTGGGAATTCATCTCCAGATACACACCTGTTCCCCCAGAACAAGGACAGCTGAAACCTCTGATTTTAAAGCCAAACAAAAGCAAGCTGCTCCAAAATGTTACGAGTCCCTACTGACCGAGAACAATCTTCTACGCTGACAAAGGTGCCATGAATTGTGTTCATTTTTAGGGCAACGCAGTGCGCACAGAAAGGAGGCTCCCGGGCCTCCCCGTTAGCATGACCGAGGCCAACGAGTCGCCCTCTGCCTCCACTGGGATGCTGGTGTCGCTGAATAGACCAAGGTCGTGGAGTAAGTGTTAACCAACCAACACACCAACTTGCCCCAAAGTTATGTGAGAAGAAGAGAGGAGAGCAGTCTACTCGAAGGACTCTGCCCTCAAATGGTCCTGCTTTTCTAGAGGCTTTTGCGAATGAGGACCATTCACGAGGTAGCAACGGCCAGCATCTATGGAGAGCTGACGATTCTTCAGGCAGGCACCGGCAGAAAGCTTGTAAGCGCGACACTCTCACCCACAGCCTCAGGAACAGGGCGATTGGATCCCCGTGTGGAGAAGCCCACTTAGTGTCAGACGTCCAAAGCAACTTGTCCCAAGTCACTCTGATGACCACACAGTGGACCCTCTCCAGAATTCAGACACGCCGCCATAGAAACCTCCTGCCAAACATGTGACACAGCTGTTTGCACACTGCCCGACCCTGTTCTGTGTCCCCATGTGACCGAAGCTTCCTGTCCATGCCCGGCCACAGTGTGACACCCTGGCATGGCCTGGAATTAAGCGTGGGGTTTGCCCTGTGTTCACCTGAGAAATGTTAAAAGGAGATTTTCCCGTTGTTTAGTCCGTGAACTA